GTAATTAAGGAAATGACTAACGGTCTTCCCTCATACAACCTTTAAGAAAAACATTATTCTTAATAAATGTTCATGGGACTTAGAGATAAGACCACTTCACTCTTTTGGTCTCAGTTTCCTCACTAGCTAAGCAAAAAAGTTGGACCAGATGATTCCCAAGTGTCCTTCTTTTGCAAAACCAGCCCATGGATTCAGCTGATAATTCTACTCTACTACTGAGGTGCAGTATTTATCTTGGACTATCAGCTTTTAATCCCTGTTACTAGAATGATAGATTGAAAAAGCTAAAGATTTCTTGAGCAAAAGCAAAGCAGCAAAGAGCTATAGATTATTTTGTTATTAAATGAAGTTATAGTGCTCGCTTTGGCAATACATATACTAAAATTGGAGTGATAATTGAAGTTATATCTTTAACCCAATGCCAGTGGACATTTGTGTGATCAAGGGAACTTTTATTAACATCTCCAAGTTCTTTTTTCTAAATTAAATTATGTGCATATGGCAAGATGTCATGCAGTGCATACCATCAGTATTTTAAATATGAGGTAATTAGTTCAGGTGATGAATTGGTTATCAGAAATCTCAGGTCATGTGGTAAAAGGATCACTAACTCACTATGTTGTCTTGGAAAGTCATTTTCCTTCTTTGGGACACACTTTCTCCTTGATTAAAAGGGGAAGGTTTTTACGAGGCCAGCATTTTCAAAAGCATGCTGTTTCAATAAGTTTTTATTTTTTAATGGAGAAAAGATGTCCCACTCTATCTTTTCTCCTTGTAGAGTCACTGTCCAAGTATATTGATGGTCTATTTGATTCTGTTTTTTATTTTCTATTTTTTGTGGTATTGAGGATTGAACACAGAGCTTTTTGCATTTTAGACAAGTACTCCAACAATAGAGCTGCATGCCTATACTTTTTAATTTTATTTTGAAAATGATCCAACTAAATTTTCTAGAACTTGAACTTGCCATCCTTCTGCTTCAGCCTACAAGTACTTGGAATTATAAATGTGCACCCTCACAATAAGTTAAGTTTTAACTAATCCATCATATTGCCATATTCCTGGATCTCTCTCTCTCTCTGAAACTTGCTTTCTTCCTCTGTAAATTAAAGCTATATGAGGGTTGCCAAACTTTTTCTGTAAAGGGTCAGATAGAACACATTTTAGCTTTTGTATGCCATAGTTTTTATTGTAGCTACTCAGTTCTGCCACTGTGGTCATATACAACACATAAATGAATGGGAGTGGCTGTGTTCTAATAAAAGTTTATTTACTAAAGTTGGACATAGGATGAATTTCCTGCATGGGTCATAGTTTGTTGAAATCTAGGCCAGAGTATAGGCTAGCTGATTCCTAATATCCTCACAGCTCTGACTACTTTCTGATATTCTCTCCTTCCAAGTTTGAAGTCACCCTTCTCTAAAATGATCCCTCTGGCCTACAGTTCTTAAAGTTATCATCATCCTCTTCTTTTGACATGTCCATATATAAGACCATCTCCATCTTCCCAGCTGCTGAGATGCCTTCTTCACAGCGTTGTTTTGTTTATCTTAGTAACTACCCTTCCTTAATCCCTCTGAAGGATTGGCTAGCTGGAATTTGCCTTGTCTTCCTCCCCTAGAGCCTTTGATCTGATGCTCATAAGCATTTGCTGACAGCCAGACAGCAAAGGTGGAGCCCAGATCCCAAGCCTGAGGGCCCAGAGAGTAATGAATGAAGGCTGCGTTTATTTGTATTTCTAATTGGCAAGCCTGTTTCCAGATCAGCTGCATGTCACTGCAAGCTGAGAGAAAGAGCAAGAGAAAAGCTTTAGTTCTTCTCCTAGATCTCAGTGCCTCAGGCACCCGTGTCCGCTGAGGACACCCTGTCTCAATTTCACCAGGTTTGGTAGAAGCTTGTGTTTGCATTAAACCCTGGCCCTTAGTATAGATCGCTCTGGGTTTTGGGTTTTTTTTGCCACTCAGCTTGTTCATTACACATCTTTGGGGGCACCATTCACATAATCTATCACATAATCTATGGTGTAAATGTAACCCTCTGAATTAAACAAATCACTTTGTGTCTTCATACTTTCTGATATAACTTACAACTTTCTTTTTTTTTTTCATAAGATCTTACACGGAAGGCCAATCTCTTAAAGACATAAAAGTGAAACTGTTCTATTTGAAGCTGAAATTGCAGTTTGGACCCATGCCCACTCAATTTCCCTCTTGCCCTATATATGCACTTGCTAATTGCTGCATAGGATTTCTAGAATTTCTAGAGGAGAATTTTAGGGTATCTAGACTAGGTCACAGATATAGATGGTTCTATCTATTCAGAATTCCATAAGCTCCCTCTTTAACTGGGTCTATCACTGGCATATGTTTGGCCCTGAAGGTGGCCAGAAATGAGTGGCATGACCCCAGGGCTCCAAGAGTTGATAATACTGTTGGAAAAGGTAGAAGAAAATGGAAAGAGAAAGTGAATTTAAGATCTTCTAAGTTAGGAGTGTTTATTCAGAAAAGAGGTCTGGGGCAATAAGGAAAGACTTCCTGAAGAAGGTACAACTGGAATTGAGCGTTGATGAACAGAAAAGATTTGGAAAGGCTAAAGAGAAAAGTAGGATAGGGGGAGCAAAGGCATAGAGATAGGGAATACAATTGTATCAGTCAAGAAAGACAGCACAGAATGAACGTGGGTGAATCACATCTTAATGTACACGTGAAGAAATAGGAAAGGAATTTTGAATAAGGGAACAAGTGAACACAGAAAAAGCTGCAGGATTTACAGTGAAATTGGCTGGACTCAAAGCTTATCTTTCTCTCATTATACTGAGTTTTATAAAGAATATAAAACTGGAACAAAATTGTATTTATGTTTTGAATTAATTTTATTGGTACAATTTAAATATGCATAATGATCACATTCATCCAAGGGAGTTTGTTCCTGTACCTGATATAGCGTGGTTATTCTTTTTGTCCCGTTCCCCTTCCCTCCTTTCAACCTCCCCTCCCCCCTTATTTACAGAAGCTTTGTTTCCATTTTTTCCTTCTTTTACCGATTTTTCCCCTTTTCCCCTCTCCCCCTTTCACAGTTTCCCTTTCCTTTTGAACAGTTTCTTTCTATTTTATATTATCTGTTATACATTTTGGTCCTTATTTACCCTTTCACTTTCTCACACTAGAGAGAAAAGATGATATTTACACGTGGTCGATTTATTTCACTTCAAAGTATAGTCTCAAGTTGTATCCATTTAGCTATAAATATCTCAAGTTTATCTTTCTTTATGGCTGAGTAGTACTCCATTGTATTAAAAAAAACAGATCTTTTTTAGTCATTCATCAGTTGATGGGCATTTGGGTTGTTTCCAAGATTTAGATGTTACAAACTGTGTGGTATAAACATGGGGGTGCATACATCACTGTGGTATGATGCTTTTCATTCTTTTGGGAAGATACCCAGCAAGGAAATAGCTGGCTCAAATGGGACCTCTAATCCTAAACTTCTGAGGAATCTCCACACTGATTTCCACAGTGGTTGCACCAGTCTGCACTCTCACCAACAGTTGAGGAGGGTTCCTTTTTCCCCACACCCCTACCAGGATTTTTTTCATAATAGCCATTATTTCTGAGTGAGATGAAAGCTCAGCTTTGTTTCAACTTGGCATCTCTTGGATAACCAGTGATGTTGAACATTTTTTCATATATTTGTTTGCCATTTCTACTTCTTTGTCTGAGAAGTGTCTATTCATGGCAGATGCCAAGTTTTGGATTGGGTCGTTAAATTGGGGGGATCTGACTTTTTTCAATTCTTTGTATGTTCTAGATATTAGTCTTTTATCAGAGGGGCGACTGGCTAAATTATTTTCCCCCACTCTGTGAGTTGTCTCTTCACTCTGTTGGTGATTCTTTTGTGTTGCAAAATATTTTTAATAAGAGGAGATGCCAGTTGTTGATTCTTTGCACTGTTTATTTCCTGTGCAATTTTGGTTTTGTTCATGAAGTCGTTATCTACCCCTATATCCTCAAGAGTACTACCTATTCTCTCTTCCAGAAGATTTAGCATTTCTGTTTTAATATTTATATCTTTGATCCATTTTGACTTTAGTGCATGGTGAGAGATATGGGTCTAGTTTTAATCTTTGGCATGTAGAAAGGTAGTTTTTCAAACATCACTAATTAAAAAGGCTATCTTTCCCCCAGTGAACATGTTTGGCCCCTTTGTCAAAGATAAGGTGGCTGAGTGTGTTTGGTGTTGTTTCCGCCTCTTCTAGTCTGTCCCATTGATCCTCAGGTCTGTTTTTTGGAACATTTTAAAGGAAGAGTATAACTTTTGCAAGTTGACAACAGACAGAAGAGAATTTCTGGTTGAGGGAAATAACTTTGAGTATTTACATCTTGGAGAAACTCTTAGTCTTTTTTAAAAATTAACTTTATTGGTACTTTTTAGGTATACAATATAATGACATTCATCATTGGAAATTTCCACCTTTACATAATCTCTCAGTTCTTATTTTTCCCCCTTCCCCTGCTCTCCCTTCAACTCCCCCTCCCTATTTACAAAGACTTTGTTTCCATTCTTTCCTTTTCTCATATTAATTCCATTTCCTTCTTTCCTTCCCTCAACCCCTCCTATTTACCTTTCCCCTTTGGACCTTTTCTTCCTATTTCACATTATCTATTATACATTTTGATCTTTATTTACACTTTCAGTTTCTCACACCAGAGAAACTATTCAGTATTTACACATCTGTCCTAGACTTACCTAGCAACTCTAAATAGGGAGAAAGTGAGGGCTAGAGGATACTTGGGATAAATGTTAGGATAAAACACCATTCTGATCTCTGAATCCTCAGGCTAGTGATCTTTGCAAGTCATCATGAACAAATCATCCTATGGCCTTTTTTCTTTTCTTACAAATACCAGCTCCTTGGCAAATTCTCTCGATGGGTTCAAGAACTAGGCCTTTTGAACAATTCTAAATTTACCTCTATCTCTTCCTGTTTTCTGCCTCTTCAGAGACAACAGAGCTGGGCAGCAAAAAGGAGCTCAAGTCCATGCCCTTCATCACCTACCTCTCAGGTCTGCTGACAGCCCAGATGTTGTCAGATGACCAGCTCATCTCAGGTGTGGAGATTCGCTGTGAGGAGAAGGGTCGTTGTCCCTCTACATGCCACCTTTGCCGTCGGCCAGGCAAGGAGCAGCTGAGTCCCACACCGGTGCTGCTGGAAATCAACCGTGTGGTACCACTTTACACCCTCATCCAAGACAATGGCACAAAAGAGGTGAGCTCCCCTGGCCCAGCCTCCAAGTCAGACCTGACCAACTCCCCTGCCTCCTCCCCATATGCACCCTTTGTCCACGGGAATCCTCCTCCTCCTCCTCCTCCACAACAACAACAAAATCATGGGGACTACTGCATTTATGATTCCTTATCATGTTCTAAATACTTATATAGCTTGGTGACACTAGTTTATATAACCAATAAATCCTTGACTATCAGTGTCTCAATACAACAACATTTAGTTTTTGTTGGTGTGGAGTCCCAAATAGATGCGTTTGATTGATTGGGTGGCTTTTCTCTTCTGAGAACTGGTTCAGTACCCAGCCTGTTTTATCTTGTGCACCAATAACAGTCACTATGAAAGGAGAAAGAAATTCGGAGGATTGCTAGGGAAAGACTGAAATGGGTCAAATGTCATTTCAGCTCTGGTTCTATCGATGACAACTCGGCCATTGCCCATGCCTGTCTTTAATATAGGGAAATGTATTCTAACTGTGTGCCTAAGAGAAGAAGGCACTGTTACAGTGAAAGCCTAGCAGTGTTTACCTCAGTCCTGTACTTGGATTATCCCATTTAATCTGCTTTCCAGATTTATGATTTACTTAGAAATATTGGTTTGAGTCACATGAAACTGCTGACATTTGAACATACGATTCATCTTACTGTCATGTCCATATTATAACTGAGAGAACCTCAAAGATGTTAAGTGATTTGTTCAAAGCTGGTCTGCTCCACAGTTTACATGCCTAACTGTGATATGATATCTCCTCTTTCCTTCTTCTGTATCTTATTTAATTGCAGCATTTCAGACCTTGAAAGGATCATATGAATTATTTGGCTAGCTGTTTCGCAAATTTATGTTCATGGAATATTTTTTACAAATGCAATCTTCCAAGATCCCCAGTCCATAAAACTAAGAATGGTGATGCCACTATTCCAGTAAGGAAGAAGAAAAGTGGTTTTCCCTGCCCTCTGTAGCAGTTTGCAGATGGCTCTGGGCCTCCAAGGAAGTCACCCTGGTAGACCCTTGATGCAGTCCCATAGAACTCTGGATTATGTGCCCCTTCCACAACATGCTCTTGGGCTAAGTCCTGGAGTATCACAGAGGTCGAGATGCTTCATAGAGAACAGATAAGGGAGGCAGAGCTAGGATGAGGCCACAGGGGTTGGAAAAGGCCTGATCACTTAGGATATTTTAAGTCCAGTCATAGAGTGTGGGCCCTGTTCTTAGGGTAATAAGTTGATGAAGATATATGATGATAGGGTAGATGGGATTAGATTTGTGTTGCACAAGGAGTCTTCTATTAACTACCTAAATTATCACCAATAGGAGAGCAGGTATGTGTGTGATATTGATACAGTGGAACATACTACTGCAGAAAAAATTAATGAACTATTGTGACACCTATCAATGTGAAATGAATGAACAAATTATTCAGTGAAAAAATAAGTCCCAATTCTGTACAGATTTTATATAACAGTCACCCATTTTCTTTTTTTTTTTAAGCTAAAGCACACACACTCTTACCTCAGTTACACTACCTTTTAGGAATAAATACAAATACAGTAAGACTATTTTAAAAGTAAGGAAGGAAATGATGAACAGAAGAAATGATGGTAGTCTTGAGTTGGGGAGGCAGTGTAATGGCACAAGGAAACATGTTACATGTAAATAGTCAAGTTCCTAACTGGCAGTTTTGGTGGTGGATTATTAAAGTGTGTAAAGTAACTAAATTATTAACTATCTAAATGGATAAATACACCTAATAAAGCATGGCACAGCTGCATGCTTGAGTCCTGAAGCAAACATCACAAGTACTCTAATTCTGTGCATAAAAAGTCTCCAAAATAACTAACTACAACCAAAAAATACATACATGTCTCCACACTTCAGACTGCAGGGTGAGGTTAAATTGTGGGATTGAAAGAGTAGAAAGAGAGACACCTGCTTAGCACTGGCTCTCCAGGACTTTGTGAATGAATACCCTCATTGACTGCTGTATGAATCTGCCTCAATGAGTGCCTTTCTGGCCCTAATTTCCTCATCTGCAATGTGACGCAGTACAAACTAAGTCATGGGACTTTGGCAACATGTTCTTGTCATCCATATGGTAGGGAGGAGGGGCAGTAGTTCCTTTCCCTTTCGCTCAGGAGCCAGATAACCCTATGGCTGGACTTTGCACCAGCTCTGCTTAGCATTACTGAAATGTTTAATATTTTAGAAATCCAGTGAAGTATTTCTGGGGCCAGTAAGTGTTGTCAGAGAATTCCAAGAGTGTGAAAGTGGTCACTAGATGTCACTGTTCTCCTTGCAGGAGACCTGGGGAAATGGAAAGTACTAATCATTAATTTCATTAATTCAGAAAGTAGTTTCGAGTAGCCACTCTATGTCAAGCACTGGGTTATACCCTAAGAAATGGACAGTCTGAAAAATGGACACTTTTTTTTCTTGGTGATATCGGTATTGTGCTCAGTACTGGCCTACATTTCCAACCCCCAACAGTCTGTTTTTTTGTTTTGAGACAAGGTCTTGCTAAGTTGCTCAGACTGAGCTTCAACTTGAGATCTTTCGGTTTCAGCCTTCCAGAATGCTGGGGTTACAGCATGTGCCACCATGCCCAGCCAAATGGAAATTCTCTTTATTTATTTTTTCAGTGCAGATCAAACTGAGGACCTCATGCATGCTAAACAAATGCTCTACCACTAAGCTACATCTCCACCCTATACATGGTCTTTGTCTTCATGGAGTTTATACACTTGTGAGGAAAACACATTCACTGAAATAAAAAGAATCAGATTATGCAAAGTACCAACAAAGAGTGTAGGTCAATGGGTTGAAGGTGTGTGACAAGTAGCTTTGTATTGTCAGGGAAGTCTTTTCTAAGAAAAGATATTTAGACTTAGTTCTCAGAGCAAGGCACATAAAGTGAATGTAGATGATTGGGCTTGGGAGGGGAGAAACATTAGGATAGTCCAAGTAGAAGGCCCACTTCCTGCAAAACCTGAAGAATAAGCAAGCATGGCCATTTGAGGACTCAGTGAGAACCTATGTGCCTGGGGTCAAAACTGAGGGGATTCTCCATGGATAATGCTGTGGAGAGGTCAGGAAAGTTTGAAGGCTGTGGTCAGGAGTTTGGCACCAGAATTTTCAAAGAAATGTAGGAGCTGGTTGACTAGTGGTGGCTTCCTCTTAGTCACCAGTTTCTTCTGCCCCTCCCCAAACCCAAATGAGAGGCCTGTTTAACGTTTCACAGCTTATAGGGGATGACACACTAGACATTTTCAAGGGAGCCAGGTTGTAGTAGGAGTGGATGAGAGAGTTCCACTGCAGGTCTGGAAATGACCCTGCATGAGGGGAATATGGCCATCCAACAAGCTGGTGTGAAGAGAAGGCAGCTGCTCTTGTTCTCTTGTTCTCCTGTTTTTCTGTCTCTGCCTCAGACCTCTAGCATCCCTTCTTCCGTGGCTTCTCCATCTCTCTGCCATCTCTGCATGCTAAGGAGAAGCCACGTGGGTAAAAGAGAAAGGAATCTTGACCTGGAGTTGAGGGGCCTTGGACAAGTCCTTCCCTTTTTCTATCTGACAAACCAGAAAGGTTGAATGAGGTTTTTTTTCTTTTTCCTCTGAGTTTCATAAAGAAACTGTGTCCACATAGAAGCAAATACTGGAGTCAAAGCGCTACACTGGCTTGAGTCACAGTCTTGCCTCAGTTCCCCGTTTACTGTGTGATGCCGAAAGACAGCCATGCACCTGTTTCCACATCTGTAAAATATGGTCTCATGATCTCTATTTCGTGAGACTCAAATGAGATAATGAATACATAATATCCAGCATGTAACAGACAAATATTGTCTATTATACTGATAAAAATAGTATTTATCTAAAATCATCCTTTCCTTTTCTGCTTCTTTGGTAAACAGTATTCAATAGCTAGGTAGTACAGTATTCAAAGTGGTACAGTATTCAATAACTCTTTGATGCTTATAGTGTTAGTGATATGGCATTTTAGAGAAGGATCTGCACTTTGAATGGAAGTGGCCCTTGGTTGACCCAAAAGGACAGATTACAAATGAAAGGATCTGAGCAACATTTCTTCACTTTATCATCACTCATTACTGCAGTCTATACAGAATGCAGGTCCTGTGTGAGAATCCTAACTCACCACTGAGGTACATTCCCATCACCCCACTGAGTGAGCTCTTGAGCCCCATTTTGTGGCATGGTCAGGGAGTAACAGAGAACAGAGAAGGGGAATTACTTGCCTGAGGTTTGTGGTTATAGTTCTGGCCTCTGGTTTTGAGCGGTAACCAGGGTGATGTCTGGATGGCTTTGGAAACAGTTGGACACTAGATGCTTGAGTGGTTGGGGTCGCCTTGAGCCCATTCCAATGAACAGATCGGAAAGGATGATGTCCTCTATGTCTGCTGGAAAGGAACTCTTAGTTACACTTTATGCTGTGGTTTTGAACAAGCACAGCAGGAAAAATGTCTCTGTGATAGAGAATTTGATTAATGTGTAACTCTCCTCCCTCCACCTGATAAATGGCCCTTACACAACCCAGTGCCACAGAACTTGGCTTAGCATAATTGGTGCTTAAATATGCAAGACTTTGTGTGGTTGTTAATTTAGTCTGTGGGAGAAGTAGAGTCTCCAAGTGGGGAAGGCGGAGGAATATCATAATGAAGAGTCAGGCAGCTGGATTTGAATCCCATCTCTACTGTTTACTGCCTAGGGAAACTTTTTTTAAAACTTGTTTTAAAAGTATTCATTATAGAGTATATCCTATCCTCTTGTGGATGGGGAGTTTTATTTGGGTAAAATAGAGTGTGGGACTCAAATAATCCGAGCTTTGCCTTGTTCCTGATTGTTACATGGTGCTGAACTTGCTTCCTCTTAGATCTGGCCTCTAATTCTTTATCTGTATAATGAGAAATACAAGCTAGCTTTATCCAAGGTCCCTTTTGGTGCTATGATAAGGTCAGATCTAACTTCATAGTAGAA